CCGTTTTAACATATGGCTGTGAGTCCCGGACAATCGTTAGGCAGGACAAATAGTTTAATTAGGCCTCAGAATTGTGGTTTCACAGAAGAATGCTTAGAACACTTTGAACAGCAAAAAAAAAAAAAAAAAAAAAAAGGAAAACAAGAGGTTTTAAAAGAGGCTGGAGCCCGAAGACAACTAATCACAGACATCAGAAGGAGACAGTCATTATTTTTCGGCCATGTTATGAGAAGAGGAAAAATTGAACATGTGGTGACCACTGGAAAGATCTGTGGAAGGAGGGATAGAGGAAGACAACGAGAGAAGATTCTTGACAGTCTTGTTTCATGGCATGGAAGTGCGCCACACGATCCTACATGCTGCAGGAGATCGCAGATTGTGGCAAGGCCCACGCCAGTCGGCAAGGCACCTGATGATGATGATGATACACTATTCGTATTCGGCCGAATAGTTGGTCCCGCTATTCGTTTTCGGCCAAATAGTGAAAATCCCTATTTGGTATAGCCCTAGTCTTAACACTTATAGTTCCCATCCTTTTTAGGATGAAATTTTTCGTTTTTTGAAGCCCTACTCTGGCTCTTGCCAGGGGCCGCAATATAGCCTGGCCATAAATATGGCTTAAAGGCTTAACGCAGTTTATGGGACCTCTCCACGGTGATCCTCACCCGCATGGTGGCACATTGTGTCATCGGGTGTTCATCGCTTGTATGATTTCCTGGTGGGGTAGAAAGTCAGTCAGTCACTTGATGTCAGAAGATCCGCGACAAGATCAAGAGGACGGCCGCGAAACATGAATCGAAAACATTAAAGAAATTCTACGCCTTCACTGCATAACAAAAGCCAATGGCAGCCAGCATGAACCCAAGTTCAAGGTGTCTCCTTCGTGCCAAAGAACTGCATGGCTGTTAGGTGAACAGTCGTTAACAAAGGCAGGCAGGTCGTTGTAGGTGCGACGCCTGCTGGTCGATGTAATGTCCTAAGTCCCTTCCCCAGCTAATAGTGAGGGTACTACTGGGGTGACCGTTTATTAACCCTTATATAATGCTTCAGGTCGAAATGGACGCTAGGCACGGCCACCTTTTTTTCTTTAGCGGTGGCAAATGTTGCTGTTGTTTTTTTTTCTTTTCTGCCAGACGGTGGCCGTTGCATTTTTGCTCCATTTGTGGACTAGAATGATATAGTTTCGTCGCCCAGCGAGTTGAGTGCATGGCGTGACACTGTGAGCTACGTGTGTTTCTTTGGCACAGGAGCGGAGCAGCTATGGGGTGACCCGTTTGCTATGAAGCTGAAACTAGGATTACAAGATTACCAGATTACCAGATCGCAGAAGTGGTTTAAAGGCAGAAGTGATTTATGATGATGGTGATAATAATTATAAAGATGATGGTGATGATGATGATGAGGAGGATGATGATTTCGCTGATGATAAGATAGCAATAGACATTGTACGGTGCATACCAGCGCGTTTTATTAGAGAACAAACTGTCATGAGTATCGCTTTTTCTGATAAAAGACCTAACTATCACCACCACCTCCACTACCCCAACACCACCACCTTTGCCACCGCCACTACCACCACCACAACCAC